GGGAGACGTTCAAGAACATAACAACTTGGTCGAGAAGGTGATGCAGAGGCTCGATGCAGAAGGCTGGGCACTGAAGCTTAGTAAGTGTGAATTATCGGTAAACCAGTTAACTTGGTTAGGTTACGTTATAAATGAGGACGGTTATTCTCCCAAATTTTCAAAGATTGACGCGATCCAATCACTTAAACCCCCAGGAACTTTGAAGCAGCTTCGTTCATTTATGGGAACGCTAAATCATCTACAACGGTTTATACCTGACTTACATATTTATACAGTTCATTTTTGGCAATCCTTAAAGGCATGTAACAAACAGTCTTTTCGGTGGGGTGAGGAACAAGATAATGCCTTCAAGAGCATAATCAACCTGGTGGCTAAAATTCCCAGTTTGTTCCATTATGATTCTTCGAAAAAGTCTGGAGTAAAATGTGACGCTAGTCATAACGGACTAGGAGCATGTCTTGAGCAGGAGATTGAACCGGGAGTTTGGGCTCCAACTGCGTTTGCTTCGCGTTTTCTCAATAATGCAGAAACGAAGTATAGTGCAAATGAATTAGAGTTGTTGGCAATCGTTTGGGCGTGTGAACACTTTCGTACGTATTTGTTGGGTAATCGTTTTCAAGTGTTGACGGACCATAAAGCCATTATTTCGACATTGAGTGCAAATTATAATAACAAGTTTTATCAGTCGCGCCTTTCGCGTTGGGCGGATCGGTTGTTACCCTTTGATTTTGAAGTTATTCATGTCCCTGGGGTTATATTAGGCATTGTAGACTATTTGTCCCGCTATCCTACTTTTTCAGCTCCAGCACCTTCGATTTATGATGAACTTTTTGTTGTTAAGTCCATTGAGGCTTTTAATTCAGCCTTGACATTTATAAATTCATTTAACGTGATTCATTCAGACGACGGTTTATGTTCTTCGTCGCAAGAGGGCGTTGCTCCTCATACTCGGAAATTTTCCTTGTCTTCGTGAAAATTTTCACCGGTAGGGCTGTTTTAAAACCAACTCGTCCTGCCAACCAATCAGATCACGTTACGCAAATACGCGCTTCAAGTTTTTCACCGAGAGAGGGCGTTATATTATGCTGTTCAAGTGTCGACCAATCAGCAACGGGTATGCAAATCAATAATCGTAGACCGCTATCGCTCGCTCTAAATCATTGTCTCCGAGCTGAGTTGCTAAAAGACAGTCACAACTCTCTCTTCTCATCTTTTTCTTATATAACAACTCATAGTCACATCATGAACTCCTCGAATCCTATCCTACCACCAGATACTTTCCCTCAACCTACTGCCTACGACTTACATTCTACACTTGTTCATCCCCCTGACTCACAACCACTACTCAACTCGACGGCGGAACAAACTGACCTCCTCTCATTTGTGGAAAACTTTCTTTTGAGTTCGCCGAACTTCAAACGACTGAGCCCGCGTCCCACAATGAGATCTCGTCAGGTGCGACAGCATAATCGGACCCGAGAGCGTGCAGCAAAAACTCGTTTTGTTGCCGCCAGGACCGTCTCCAGAAAGGAGGGACACAGCCAACTTTTGGAGGCTATGAGGAGGTGCCGCTTATCGCGACCGCGAAAAATTCATACCGCTGCCAAAGTTGGCGTGTTTGCTTATAAAGGAGGTAAACCTATCCTCTCAAAGTCCAAGAAAGAAATTGTGGGACTACCAGGTTTGTTCGACGCCAATCTTGTAGCAGAGCTCACGGAGGAAGATCGTTTCCTGGGCCCGATGAAACGGGCTATTATCAATAAGGATGTTACCAGCTTCAACAAACTCGGGGCCTACATGGCTCAATTCTGACCCAAGGCAGCGGTTGTCAATAATTGCGTGATAATTGACAACAAACTGGCAATCCCCGAAGCTTTGAGGCAAGCTATCCTCGCTCGTCTTCATCGGTCTCATCCCGGACAAGAGGCCATGATGTCAGCCTCAGAGTTTATTTGGTACCCGTTTTTAAACCGACAGATTGTCGAAACCTGTGAGAAATGCCGCGAATGCACGTTGTATGGTAAGAACCTTAAGCCTGTTAAAACTTTTCATACCGCTCAACCTTTACTTAATTTAACGGGGCCAAATCAGGAATTGCAGTTAGATTTGTTGGTCAGATTTGCTATTTTGGATGACAAAGGTGTGAAGATATTCCTTTTAGTAGCTACTGATCGTTTCTCGAAATTTCCTTCCGTTCTTATTGCGAAAACTACTGGGGCTAAAAAGGTTACTAAATTCCTTGAATCTTACATCCGTATTCATGGCTTACCTCAATCTATCAGGACTGATCATGGCTCTGGGTTTAAAAACGATTTAGTACATTAATTTTGTTCTAGTAGAGTTATTAAACATATCCTTTCACCCGTTGGAGATCATCGAGGTTCTGGTCTAGTTGAACGTATGATACAGACTATAAAACGCAAATTGGGCACGGAGAAACTTGATCCTAATTTTGATAATTTTAAAGAGAACCTCCATCGGATGCTTGAAGACATTCGCAAGAGTAATCATTCTGTACTTAAGAAGTCGCCTTTTGAGCTGCATTTTGGACGTAAGCCAAATACCGAATGGTCACAGGATTTTCAAAATGTTGTTAATTCTGATACTTCAGCACAAAGACTTGAGCACAACCTCTTAACGCCGGATCAAATTGCTAGCAGGACTACAGTCGTGATCGTGCCAAGGTGGTGCCGAGAGGAAGTGCCAGCCCTCCGATTGCCCCACGTTTCAACCCCATGTTTTCTCTGCAGGGTAATGTTGCTGAGAGTGAGCCTTACAAAGCGCTATCTGATCTTGCTCGGGCGGCCAATATATGGACACAGAATAAGAGAAACCTTCCGCCGGATGGGGGCAAACGAGTCTTTCAAGAGTTGTCGAGTCGTCACTCAGATTTGGCTCATTCGCTCAAAAAAGGCCTTTCCCGCAAAACACTGTGTTTTGCGGCGGATCGATCAGGTCCTACGTCCCCAGGAGCTCAGGCAAGTTCCCGTCGTTTACCGACTATACAACCCCGTCGCCTGTCAAAAACAAGTAAATTGGAAACCGTTCTCTTATCCGATCCTAGCCGTGTTAGAGTATTTAGGAAAATTATAGATCGTCAGTCCGGTAAACCTCTTTTTAAGCCTGCAAAATTCAAGAATACTCGCATTACCGATCACACTTATGTTACTGACAAAGGAAAAATTTATCGAAAAAACCATGTTTGTCTTAAGCCTAACTTCCGTAATAACATTCCAGCAACTCAAAGCACATTAGGGGATCGCCTCCAAACACCGGGACCGACTTAACGTAGTGTGGGGAAAAAGCTAGTTACTCGTTCCTCTCAACCAACTCTGTTAGAGAAACGCCCGGATAACCCTAGCGTATCACAGCCAATGGTGGTGGATCTCACAGCTGACTCGTCTAGTGAAGGCTCATCTGGTCAGAATACTCTGCAGGTGTTTCGGGAATCTACCCCAGTGGAGAAGCGACCAAGGCTACAGGATGATTTGCCGCCAGTCACGTTTGCTGACTCGTCTTTTACTCCGAACCAGTCTACAATGGATACTATTGTCTCTTCCCGCCTATCACACAGTCTGTTAATCCTACAGTAGTGAATGCCCGATCTGAGTTTTCTTCACCTGCTGATGTCTCTCCCGAGGGTTTTGTTCAACCAGCACAACATGTACCTTCAGAATCATATTCGTCATATCCTTCTTTCTCTCCCAGCTCAGCCTGTAGTGGATGACTCGGAAGCTGTCAGGACTTCATCACGTAGCAAGAAGGCTACGAAATTCTTTGGGGATCCTTTACGGCACTCCGTTAAAATTGTGGAAGAGGATACATTATTGGGGGAGGAGGCTTGTGACTTACCCTCTCAGAGCATTTTACCGTCCTCGCATTCACCTATAAGGCCACTTATTTGTGACCGACCTCAACTGGTTCCGCTGGAGGCGTCATTCTCCTCGTTGATCAATAAAACTCAAGATGAAAATTGACTGTCTATCTATTAAACTATCCAAAACTTTTGCAAAATTTTATACAAATCTTTATTTTAACACCCTGCATTTTTGAGGGATAGAGGTGCTATCTATCTAATGCCCATCTGGGTGCAGTTTGTTGATTACAAAAAAATTGATTTCTTTTTCAAAAATTTTCCCTTCCGCGGGGAATGTCACGAGGTGACCTTCGGTACCTCGCTTACTCGTTGCCTTTTTGCAGCCATGCTGCTGATTTCACTACCAGTTGTGTTCAAGGCCACTGGCTTGGCCTATATTGAGTATTACGCTGTGCGTGGTCACTCTGTTGTTTTGATACATCGTTTGCTAGATGCAAATTTATTCTGAATCTTATTCTATGTTTCCTCTTAGTCACAGCGTGACTAACAAATATTAAATTGGAACCAAGAATCTAAATAACTAATTTATCAATTCACTATCACGAACAACCAAGTTTTGTTCTTCAAGTCTCGGCAAATGTCAGCAGCAAGCAATTTAAAAAAAAACGAGCCAAAAAGGCGTTTGATCCACTTTTTGAAAAAATGTCGACCAAAAATTGCGTTTTTTCGGCGCCCACTTTCCCCTCAAAACGCCCCCCCCCCTTTGCTATTATTTTAAGACATCAACTGTTGGCTGACCAACCATAAACTTTTTATAGGGGAGCTTTTGGCGCCAATATATTCTAATATTGGCGCCAAAAGCTCCCCTATAAAAAATTTATGGTTGGTCAGTTCAACCCCCCCCCCCCTCCCTTAAATCTGCTGCAGAAGCCCAAAGTTTCAATCTGCTTCTGCTGTTTACAGAGATTTTCAGGCACTAAGTACAACTCTCTGGCGCTCTTGAATTAAATGACCAAACGACGCACGGAATCCACTTTTGGCAATTTTTATTCGGCTATGTTTTTATATAACTATAGAAACTAAAAAAAGCTATTTCATTCATTTATTACTTAAAACTTAAAATTGCAACTTCTAAGTCCCGTGGCTTTAGTTTTGAGTTTTAAAAATATTGCAGAATAGACTGTTACCGGTCATCGTCCTTGGCGCCCACCATGTTTTTGAGCTGAGTCCACATCGTGCCTGTAGTTATATCCTGTCCAGTTATCACGATGGACCTGCCGGACGACTCTTCCGACAGCATTCGGAACTGGATCTCGAAAGACCTGAACATCTCCGGCTGGTTTTTCATCGTCGATTCCAGCTTCGCACATGTAACATTGTCTTTACAGGTGATTTCAAGTTGAACGTCATCAGGCAAGTTTATGACTGGTTTCCAATGATCGGGCACAGAATACTCTTCGGCTAGCTGACCCAGCGTGTAAAACAGTCTGATCTGTTCAATAGGCATCATCTCTATTTTATCTTGCTGCACGTCATAGCCTTGTTTCAACAGGTAGAGATAGACTGTCTCCTGTACGATTGGCATCCAAAGCATAACGTCGAAAATGAGCACGTGGGTTTTGGTTAGGGGCTTGTAGAGTGTCCTGGCTGTTTTGGGTTTCAGGTGGCCCAGTGGGAGCACGTAGAACCTGTAAGCATCATGAAGTCGTTATCAGCTCTTTTTTGACCCCGCTGCAACATTTGAAAATCAACTTAAGCAATTAACTCTCGTGGGCAAAATAAAACGCAAATTTAGATGATAACTCTCGATCTTTTTAATGTCATTTTATTACATTTATTGAGAAACTTTGCCAGATTGAACAAATTGACCATTTTTTCATTTGTTCTTCAATCCGTGTAGCTAAAAATTTAGCCATATTAGCATGTAAATGCATTCTGAAGACGGAAACGCTGGATTGGGTTCACTCTTTTTCGCTCTTTTACGTTCGCACTGCCACAAGCAGACTTCAAATTGTTCTTAAATTCGGCATGCATGATAATTACTCAAGTTCAAATTCATTTGGTGTTAACCTAGAACCCAGAAGACTCGAAGATCCACTAAATCGGCAAAATCTATTTTTTCGGCAGCGGGGTGGGGGGGGGGGAGTGGCGTACCTTTGTGACGTTTTGTCGACGTCCCTCCAAACTGAGAGTTTTCCCGGTCCAAAGGGAACAATTGCCACAATTTCTGAAGACACTTCAGTATCTTGTAGAGACCGTTTTGTTTTCGTACCATTCACAAGGCAAACAGCAAGAAGAAGGAGCACACTGGCTGCTGTTGCTGATGAAAATGGAAACGCCATGGAAAAATTGTTATTCCTGAAAAAAACCAAATCGATGAAAAAGGTACTCCAAAATTCTGTTTAATTGTGAGTTGAAATAGCCAGTTTGATTAATGGATATCTAGCACCTTGAGTTAATGTGGTTGTAGAAGAACACTAAACATATAGATGCACAAATGATAATAAGTAGGCCGAAAAATGTATTTCCAGACAACTATATTAATAGCCAGTTGCTGTGCAAGTAACCCAGAAGGATCCGACCATATTCTTAAAAAAACTGGTAGAAATAATTTCTTTTCTTTCATATGGTATCCTTTTGAGGGCGTGTTGTGATAAGAGAACCTAAGCAAAGGCTAGAAAATTATCATATTGACCAATTGCAAAATATTATCAAAACGAACAACAGCTTTCATAGAAAAACTGCTAGAAAACAAAAAAACGGTAAAAACTATTTTAAAAAAAGTTGTTGATTACCAGAATGGCAACAGTAAACTCCCAGAACCAATTTTTAGAGTAAAACTAAATTTTCACGGCTTTAATTAAGCATAAAAAAGCTATTGTAAGCCTGTATGCTTGCACTTTTTGTCAAAAACGATTACAAACAAAAAAATGTTCAAATTTTTGAAAAAATTCATTTTTTTGTAAATTTTGTTAACTCAAATGGCGCTAAAACAAAAACCAATGGCCAAAGTTATTGAATTAGAACATATTTTCTTGGTTACAAGAAATGTTTCAAGGCTGATTTTTTTCGTAATAAGACTGCTCGTTCCCTCCACTCGCAATTGAACCATAACCTAAAACTCAACGAATTTAATTCTGGTACTTTTTGAAAACTCTAAAATCTCATTTGAAAATCGAAGAAAAACTAAGACTAAACTGAGCTTGCCCAAATCTGTCGAAAAGAGTAAATGTCGAGCATCTGCCATTAAAGAAAAGAAAGAAAGGATCGAGACGGGTATAAAACATTAAAATGGCAATTGCGTGGGAACACTTGCGCCAGAAACGTCATGAGAACGCAATAAAGGAGAGAGAGAGAGAGATAACAACGAGAGAGTACCACAACTGTTGCAGTAACCACGGCCGTTTTGCCAAAAACGGATGATACGGCTGCACTTTTTGCTCGCCAACTGGAAACAAACCCTTTTGAATTGCAGGGCTCTGGCGCTAGCAGTTAAATATTAAAGTGCCACTCATCACCATTGCGCAAAACTTCAACATTACTGAAAATTCTGAATACTTTATCTGCTATAACAGTGGATAAAGTAATGATAAACAAATCTTTCAGTGTGTTGACATTTTGATGTCATCACACTGAAAGATTTGCATGTAATCACTTTATCCACTGTTATAGCGGTTGAAGGTTTCAAAATTGTCAGGAATCTTAAAGCTTTGTGCAATGGCGATCTGTGGCACTTTACTACTTACCTGCTAGCGCATGAGTTGCAAAATATTATGTTTTGTTTTCTACTGGCGAGCAAAAGGAGCAGCCGTATCATCAATTACTGGCAAAACGGCCATGGTTACCGCTACAGTTGTGGTACTCTTTCGTTGTTTTCTCTCTCCCTCACTCCACTTTGACGTTTTGATGAAGTTTTGGGCGCAAATGTTCCCACGCAATTGTCAGTTTTTTTTCACGTCTCGATCCTTCCTTTCTTTTCTTTAATGGCAGATGCTCGACATTTATTCTTTTCGATGGATTTGGGCAAGTTCAGTTTTGTATTAGTTTTTTTTTCGAAACTCAAATGAAATTTTAGACATTTTAAAAAACACGTTTTAAATTCGTTGAGTTATAGGTTATGTTTTTATTGCGAGCGAGTGGAGGGAACGAGCAGGCTTATTACGAAAAAATAATCCTTGAAACATTTCTTGTAACCATGAAAGTATGTTCTAATTCAATAACTTTGGCCATTGGTTTTTGTTTTAGCGCCATTTGACTAAACAAAATTTCCAAAAAAAATGAATTTTTTCAAAAATTTGAACATTTTTTTGTTTGTAATAGATTTTGACAAAAAGTGCAAGCATGCAGGCTTTTAATAGCTTTGTTATGCTTCATTAAAGCCGTGAAATTTTAGTTTTACTTGGAAAAAATGGTATTAGGATCTTTTTAGGAGTATTAGGAGTTTTTTTTGCCCTTATGGTAATCAACAGCTTCAAAAATTCTAAAAAATCAAAAAAATTTTGAATTTTCTTAATAGTTTTGTTAAATATTTATGTTTTTTCTTTTTTCTAGAAACTTTTCTATGAAAAGCTAAATCTACAAATAGTTAAGACTGCTCGTTCCCTCCACTCGCAATTGAACCATAACCTAAAACTCAACGAATTTAATTCTGGTATTTTTTGAAAACTCTAAAATCTCATTTGAAAATCGAAGAAAAACTAAGACTAAACTGAGCTTGCCCAAATCTGTCGAAAAGAGTAAATGTCGAGCATCTGCCATTAAAGAAAAAAAAGAAAGGATCGAGACGCGTATAAAACATTAAAATGGCAATTGCGTGGGAACACTTGCGCCAGAAACGTCATGAAAACGCAATAAAGGAGAGAGAGAGAGAGAGAACAACGAGAGAGTACCACAACTGTTGCAGTAAACACGGGCGTTTTGCCAAAAACGGATGATACGGCTGCACTTTTTGCTCGCCAACTGGAAACAAACCCTTTTGAATTGCAGGGCTCTGGCGCTAGCAGTTAAATATTAAAGTGCCACTCATCACCATTGCGCAAAACTTCAACATTACTGAAAATTCTGAATACTTTATCTGCTATAACAGTGGATAAAGTAATGATAAACAAATCTTTCAGTGTGTTGACATTTTGATGTCATCACACTGAAAGATTTGCATGTAATCACTTTATCCACTGTTATAGCGGTTGAAGGTTTCAAAATTGTCAGGAATCTTAAAGCTTTGTGCAATGGCGATCTGTGGCACTTTACTACTTACCTGCTAGCGCATGAGTTGCAAAATATTATCAAAAATATTATGTTTTGTTTTCTATTGGCGAGCAAAAGGAGCAGCCGTATCATCAATTACTGGCAAAACGGCCATGGTTACCGCTACAGTTGTGGTACTCTTTCGTTGTTTTCTCTCTCCCTTACTCCACTTTGACGTTTTGATGAAGTTTTGGGCGCAAATGTTCCCACGCAATTGTCAGTTTTTTTTCACGTCTCGATCCTTCCTTTCTTTTCTTTAATGGCAGATGCTCGACATTTATTCTTTTCGATGGATTTGGGCAAGTTCAGTTTTGTATTAGTTTTTTTTCGAAACTCAAATGAAATTTTAGACATTTTAAAGAACACGTTTTAAATTCGTTGAGTTATAGGTTACGTTTTTATTGCGAGCGAGTGGAGGGAACGAGCAGGCTTATTACGAAAAAATAATCCTTGAAACATTTCTTGTAACCATGAAAATATGTTCTAATTCAATAACTTTGGCCATTGGTTTTTGTTTTAGCGCCATTTGAGTTAACATTTTTTTGTTTGTAATAGATTTTGACAAAAAGTGCAAGCATGCAGGCTTTTAATAGCTTTGTTATGCTTCATTAAAGCCGTGAAATTTTAGTTTTACTTGGAAAAATTGGTATTAGGAGTTTTTTAGCAGTATTAGGAGTTTTTTTTGCCCTCATGGTAATCAACAGCTTCAAAAATTCAAAAAAATCAAAAAATTTTGAATTTTCTTAATAGTTTTTTTAAAATATTTATGTTTTTTCTTTTTTCTAGCAACTTTTCTATGAAAAGCTAAACCTACAAATAGTTAATCAATGGAAGCTATGAACCTACCACAAGAATAATTTATGACTGGTATCTAAATCTGATTAGTATATCTGGTATCCTAACAAGATGCATAAATGCCTTCCTCCAAATGAAGTAGAAAAATCTACGATTTTGCGCCAAACTATTGGCCTGATGTAGATTTTTTTTATTTTGCATTTATTGGGTTGTTCTTTTCATCCCGCACATAGATACACAATATAAAAACAATTCACCTGGGTCTCAAAGTGACCTAAAAAACAATCTAGATTTTTTGTTTGCCTTCCCTTATATTTAAAAAAAGATCCGCAAAAACTACTATTTAATTGTTGGGGACCATCAGACATTATCAACAAAAGTTGACTAAAAACTAGAAGTTTATGAAAAATTTGATAAGCTAAGTATCCAATTTGGCTCATGTTATTTGAAAAGCATGGTGCCGAAGCATGAAATTTCATTCCCAGCCCAGCTTTGGAAGCAGCGAGATGCGACCATGAGTGGGCTTTCTGACAGACCGATAGCTGATCAATCATATTTCAACGGAGCTCACCCTAGTACGTGCAAAGTATGACGACGGCATACAAAAATTAAATTTTAAAAAGCATCGAGTAGCCATAAAATGACAAAGAAAAAAAAAGCTCAAAAATTATCTCTTTTTACAAAAACAAAACTGTGTGGATAATTTTTAGAGTTTTTCTTGTTTATGTTAACCAAATATAAAAATTGTATCGTTTTTGTTTGATCAATCATGTCTCACAGACGTTTTCCAAATTTCAACCCAACACAAATTTTTGTTAGCTTTTTTTGAAAACTAATTTCACCACAAATTCCCAAAAAATCGCTCAGCATATTGCCCTACTCGTGTACTAGAAATTTTTTTTCCAAGACAATCGCCCTTTTGTCGGGATGCTAGGTTGGAACTAAGGGCTGGTAAATTTTTTTAATTTATGTTTTGATGTTGGCTTAATTATGATTATGATTTCAATTTTGAAAAATGAGATAGTTAGTTTTTTGGCGTTGGATAATTTTTTTAAAATGTTTTTGTACCAGTACAAATGTTCTGGAAAATGACGCCAATTTTAACCAAGCATTAAATTAATTATTGAGAAGGCTTTGAAGTTTTTTAGAAAATACTTGCTGTTGATTCGAAAATGTTCGACAATCCGAAACTTTTGTAAGGTGATTTCTATTCATAACTTACGCGGATTAAGAAGCTCAAAGTTGTCTGGGCTTAAATGGCAAAAAACCTTCTTGCTTTTTGCTTTGATTTTTACCGTAGTTTGCCTTGAAG